CCTCCATCATTCCCGCTAGAAAGTCGGGTGGTTCCTTACTTTTGATAGGAACAACAACTGCATATTTGGAGAAAACATCTATCAGCACCAAGCCTACGTTGAATTTTTGATTTTCAAGGTCTTTCTTGGAAATAAAGAACAAATCAATTTGAAAAGTATGATAAACATACGGAGCAACGAAGGAGTTTTGTCCGCGCGGTTTTCTTTTCTCTTCAATGTTGTTTTTAAAAAACTCTTCCACGTCTTGCATTGTTATAGTTTTATCCTTCTTTTTTGCATCTTCTAGTGTTGTTTTTTACTGCCAAAACCGCTTTTATCGTAATAAATGTTTGCTATAATTTCTTGTTTAGACATTAAAATAAACAAGAAAATATTTTTTAACAAGAACTGCAATTGCAATAAGTGCAGTAGGCTATACAGTTGTCGGTCGTGTGGCTCATCTCGTTGTCTTTCCGCTGTGCCGTGAAGTCAGTAGAAATACAACCAGAATTGACGTCAATGTCAAACTGCTTACCGCATTTCTGACAGTTTCCGCATAATCTTTCAAAACACCATTCGGTAGTAATGTAAGATTTTAGGTTAATATTTCGTCCGGCTTTTTTGTCCTGCTGTTTGTATCCTTCCACCTTGTTTTTTAAGTAGTTTGTCAAAAAGTTTTGCTTGATTTCCGCTAGTTGCCCGTCGTCTAGGTAAAAATACACTTGATTAAAATCTCTACACCTCGTAATTGCAGTCCATAGCCACGGTCTCGTTACTAACTTGCTGTTATTCCATTCGTGTATGGTTATTCTGTCTCCTATTGAAGCCCCTTGACAAGAATGACAGGTGGCACAATAACCATATCTGAAATGATTATTTAAAATCTTTTCTTCCACTAGGTGTTTCGTTTTTTCCTTTATGTCTTGGATTACGTATTTGTCGTCTATATGGTGAAGGATTTTATACCTGATATTAACGTTAAATTTCATTCCTTCCTTTTGTAGATACTTACGGCATATCATTATCTCGCCTACTTCGTATTTGGATGTCTTGCCTAGCTTCTGCCTGACATCCTTGGCTACTGCATCGCATCGGGCATTGGTGTAGGCTATGTTGTTAGGGCTCGTTAGGGTGCTGTTGGTGAATTGGAAGTATTTGTGCGCTATGGTTTCAATAGGCATCTTGTTTAGCCAGAAGTCGTTGTAAAGATGGTTCATTGTTTCTCTGTCCTTCTCTCCTACCCTCTTACATATTTCTAGAAAGATGTCATTATAAAAATTAATATTTATACAGTTGTCGGCATAAGTATCATAGGGCTGTGTGTTGGACAAGTCATTTATCGGAGGAAGCTGTTTTGTATCACCTGTTCCGATAATAATTTTTTCTTTCTTGTATCTGATGGTGAATTCCCTTATCCTGTTTAAAATGTAGGCATTCGCCATATAAACCTCGTCAAAAACAATAACATTATATTCAGAGTGGTCGTAATAGGGAAGTTCGTCGCCTTTATGAACCGGAATACTGAAAAATCTGTTTAGGGTGATTGCTTCACATTGGATTTCTTGTATCTGGCGGTTGTTAGGAACAACGAACAGAACATTGTAATTTAGCTTCTGGAAGTGTTCGCAGATATAAGATTTTCCCGAACCAGCGTATTTAGCACGCACCATACAGGGGTTGTTTTCTACGATTTGATGACAGATGGCTTCTGTGTTCCATTCGTCGGCTATGTTTAGGCGGTTGTTGGTGTAAATTGGTATGTCGTGTTTTATGTTTAATCTGTATTTGTAAGGTTCAGTCGGAAAGTTTATTTCCTTGTCGGTTTCTGCTCTCCATCCTCCGACTTGGTTATTGAAGGTTATAAGCTTCTTGGCTTTTGTCAGGTGATTTTTATTGATGACGAAGGCATCTGACTTTACACTGAATATTTCTATGTTGTTTTTGGTTAAGGTGTTGTAGGTGTCATACATATCATAATTATGATTTTGAAGAAGAAGCTCTTTTATGTAGCGGAAGCCGTTGGTTAAGGTTCTTTGTTTTGAAACGTTCAGTATATAATATTTTCAGTATATTTTGCGAAAAAAGTTCCATCCCCGTCGTCTGTAAATTCGCCTTCTTCAATGACAAACACCCTACCCTCATATATGTTTCTGTAATATAGCGCCTCTTCTAGACTGTTGAAGGATATTGATTTTTGCTTTTTGTTGGTGGATTTTTCTAATCATCCGAAATTTACATTGGCTATTGTTTTTTTGATTTTGGCGTCTTGTTTAGGCTTGTCGCTTATTTTGGTGTTCCAGAGCTCGGATACGATATTTTCATAATCCACTTCGTGAATGTGAGATGGTTGCTTGTGGTAGTGTATTTTTACAGTTTTTTCTTCAAGGCGTTTAAGAAACATTCCATATACGAGGTTGAACTTTTTGTTGAAAAAAAGGTTGCCCTTTGATGCTTCCACTAGGTATAGGTTCAACTCTTGTAATTCTTCGTTTTGGTAAGGCTTCCATATGTCAAACTCGGTAAAGACAGGTATGTGCGTGATTTTGGAAAAGGCTTTCGTGAAAGCTTTTGTTCTGTCAATTTCTATTGTTCTGTTAGAGAAATCGTGCTTGAAATATCCGGTTGGCACTATGGTTCGGGCTTCGTCTAAAATGTCTATGTCGGTCTGGCTATAATATGACTTGTGGGCGTCGTTGAAGATTTTCTTATTGAAGTTAAACATTTCTCGGTTCATATCGTTGAACAGCTTTTCGTTTTCTACCGATACGTCTTCGTCTATGCTGTGGGTTGATAAGTTTTGTAGCTTGATGGTGTAGGTGATTTCTTGCTTTTTGTTTTTTAACTTCCAATTTACTTTCAATTCTGTCATCGTTCCCGCTTGATATTTTATGAAGGGCTCGTAACCTGCCATTTTTAGTTCGTGGAAGAGTTTTACGAGGTCATTATCTTTATGAACTAATGTATATTCTGCTTTTTCTGTGTATTTCAAAAGGTCGTTTGCTGTCTCTATCATATGGCATTCAGGGGGCTCTTCCCTGTCGCTTATGTAATAGTTGCTACTGATTTTAAGCTTGAAGTCTTCTCGGGTGGTGTTGATGTTCATTGTTTTTTTGATGCTTTTCAGGTCTCTGTTTATGGTGTAGACGTGGTTGTTCTTGATGAGCCCGAAGAAGCCTTTCGTGTGCATATGGTAGTTGGGCGGGTCAAAGGAATAAATAAGCTTCCCGTTGAAGTCAAAAAGACGCGCTGTTATGTTAAATGCCTTGAAGACGTTTTCCATTTGTGTCGTGGTTGCGCCTTTGTTTTTAAACTCTTCTTCTGTTGTGTGTAGAAGTTCTAACATATGTTGTCGGGTTAAGGTTTTGGAAAGTGAGCCCCGCTTGTGTCTCATAAGGTCGGGGTAGTGGTCAAGAAGTGAATTTATCCAACATTCGTTTTCGGTATAGTGCTTTTTTGCGAGTGCTTCTTTTATTGTTGAGTAGCTGGGGTCAATATCGGTTTCAATATATTTATTGTATATGGATATGTTTGTAGCATCTCGTAAGTTTTGATTTTCTGGCGGTTGAGCTTCACCTTCTGCAACGTTGGCACTTTCAATTCTTATTGCATTTATATATTGATACATATCACCCTTCGCCATATCATTAAATTCTGGGTCTGTTCTTAATATTAACATAAGGCGCTTAAAAAGGAATTTATCATATTCTTTTGTTACTCTCCGTTTTATGACGGTCTCTAAAAAAACGTTTGCTTTTACTTGCGCTTCTCTCTGTGCTGGATTAAGTAGCGGATAATAATTTCTGCCATTGACTTCAAAAGCTCGTTTTTTTCCCGAGCGGTTCTGCGTTGAAAGAAGCATATATTTAATGGAATACGTTTTGCGATTTTTGAAAAGCTCTTTTGTTTTGGATACAACATTTCTCAAAGGTTGTTTCCCGAAAATGCGCCTTAAAACTTTTATCTGCTTTCCTTCCCTAGCTTTTTCGGCTGTTTTGTTCATTCGTTCCGATAACGGGGCTTTTGATTCAAACTTTTCTATGGCTTTTTCTGCTTTTTTTAATGCCTCTTGTTTTTTCTTTTTGAGTTCCTGTTGTCATTTCGTTGATGAGTTTTTCGGCGGTTTTGAAAATTGAAAGTTGGCGGTTCTCATATAAATCAACAATTTGATTAACTTTGGTAATAACGTTTTCAGGTGCTTTTGTTTCTATTAACCGTTGTCTCTTGTTATTTAGGTGTTTAATATTGTCACGGATAGCCTTTCTAGTCATATGATAATTTGGTTTATATATATTGTTATTTTTTCTTTAAATGGTTTCTCCTTAGTCTCCTGTTTTGATTTTGGTTTGGTCGGTCTTTGTAAATGCCTTAAAGACAAAACGCCTATATATAGTAAGCATAAAATGACTGCAATGAAGAAGCCCGAGGATTTGACACTGGACGAGGTTAGGGAGCAAATGGCATTGTATCAGAGATTGTATTATAAGCTGAGAATGCAAGACCCTGACTATGCAACGGCAATAAGGGAAAGGAAACGATTAAGTAAGCAACGGATGAAAGAAGCAAGAGGAGAGAAACCTAAAATGCTTCCTAACCAAAAATATAGTATGGAGAATATGGCTGTTATTAAGCCGAATAAGGTTGAGGAATAGAAATAGTTTTTATAGTAATAACTATAAAAACTATTTTGGACATTATGATTTTTGTGGGTTCGGGCATGAATAGAAAAGTAAGGTTTTTGGGTGATCCAGGGATGCCAACCCCGTACAACCAATCTCCAACCTCAAACTTTGCGAGGTAGTTCTAGTCTATTCCTTGCACGTTCTCTCTGTTTCTCTCTCGTCGACGGGCGTGGTTAGGTGCTTTCGTTCTGTTGGGGTTTCCGGACTTTGAGGCTTGTTGGGGCTATTGCAAAGGATGCCTTCATCAGACCAATACCGCATATCAAGAACCCGGGCAAACGAGATCCCCAAGAAACGAGCCGAACCTCACGAAGCTGAGCGAACCAAAGCGACTTTTCTCATCTATAGACCTTCAGTGTCAGTGTCTGTAACAAGAGCCTGATAATCGCTAGCATCCTCCCAGTCGCTGGGATCTTCTGTCCTTGCATTCTTAAATTGCTGTACTTGGGGGTGACCTAAAACCCTTAAGGCCTTCAGCCTCAAGAAGAGAGGGTGGCCACACAGGTGTTGCTTCCTGTCCTGACCCGTGCTCGCAGTGAAACTAACGTGGATCAACCTCTTCTCCGATGATCCCAGCTCTGGCAAGAGCATGGCGCCTCCGAGGTTCAGAACATCAACACGTTCCTTGAACTCCCGCTTCTTCAAATCGGCCTCAATGCCTCGCACTCCCAAAAACATATCCGTGAGCCACCGTGCTTCTTCATTGTCCGACTGGCTGAACATGTAAGTGAAAGCGTTCGTCAACATGGCGATTGGAAGGAGCATCTCCCACCATGACGTTGGTGCTCCGCCATCTGGGTTGTCATCTGAAGCAGCCATGAATGAACGCAGCGCATCCTCTGTGCCTACGATGCTCGACACAGTGAACAGACCGAACCTGTAACGATCTATGCGCACATGACCAACATAATGCACCTCAGCTTCGGGGAACGGCCGTGGAAGCAAGAATTGCAGCACAGCAGCTCCCGATTGGTTGCGAGCCACCACGACAGCATCCACTGTCCGCTGGACTCTGCCATCATCCAAGTCTCGCCACGTTGCTTCGCCCACAGGCGACAAAGGGAGCAGCGCCAAGACTCTCGCGCGATCCCCTATATCTTGGTCAAAGGCAACCTCGCATTCCTTGCTCATCGGCAACCCATTCATGCCGCGCCTCGCAGCCAACTCCAGCTTTGCATCATCATTGGACGGTTCGGCGCCATCCACATCCAAGCATTCACTGAGCCACGTGGTGTCGCGGTACTCCTCCAGGATGAACTGACGCCACTCCTGCTGATGTTTGCGACTGGCTGGCAGAATGTGCGCTTTGACGAACTGTGCATCTCCGTAGGCTGCCACTCCAAGCTCATCTAGAATGTTCGATGCAGCTTTGGTGAATTCACTCCGCCCACTGTCGCTGGTGCTTCTTGCCATTGCACGACAGTCGGGACTATTCAACAGGCTACGCTGCTTCCTACTCGACTGGAAGATTACTCAAAAAAATGTATGGCATTCACGGCAACAGCACTCTGACAACATAGCATGTATGCTGCACAAACTCAAGCAAAGTGTCTTTCATGTGCTTGTTTCTGTCTTGGCTATCCCTCGAGAGACACGAAGGCATGGCTTTATCGATTCCGAACCAAACATGCAGAGTAGTTTCGGCAACGTTGTGGATACCACACGAAGACGTCTCTTTTGGTGGAGGTGGTATAGGATAATTGTTGAGGTCTTTTGGTAATTAAGGGGGTTTGGAGGTTTGAGGGTATAGGAGTTTGGGTAGGATTTTGGGTTAGGGGCTTTGGTTGGTTGGGTTTTTTGGATAGGGGGTTTGGTAAGAATGGTATTAGGAGAATTGTTAAGGTCTTTTGGGCGGTGTGGTTGTAGGATTGAAGGTATGATGGGTATGAGGGTTATGGGCATGATGGTTATGAAGGGTTCTGGGTAAGAATGGTTATCGGTGATATGGCGGGACGGTAGTCCGCGAACCTAGGCGTGTGCATGTCTAGCTCCTTGAACCCCCCTTCCCTTGGGAACCCTAAGCCCTAAACCCCAAACCCCAAACCCTAAACCCTAAACCCCAAACCTAAACCCTAAACCCCAAACCCCAAACCCTAGACCCTAAACCCTAAACCCTTCGGAACTCTGTTTAATACTACGAAGCAGCAAGTTGTAGCTGGGCCTTGCTGGAGCCGCAACAGGGCAGGGTGGAAACGGCCATCTTCCTTCATCTCGTCGAAGACCTGCCATTTCGAGCTAAACCCTAAACCCTAAACCCTAAACCCTAAACCCTCTAGAGTTAAAGCTTTAAAAACGCTCAAAGCACCCCAGCTCTCACGCCTGGAACGAAAGGAGGGGAGCCTCCTAAGTTAAGCCCTGAAACCCACTAAGGTCCAAGCCGCCCTCAAGCCCTAAAACCCTAACCTCCTCGAGCCCTCAAACATTGAACGTTGGGATGTTCCCCCTTATACTAACAGTCCTTAACAGGGATTATAATAGGGGGTTCTGTGATCCCTACTAAGGACTGTATCAGGGGGAACCTCCCAAATTGAACGCTTTGTTGGCCAGCCATCGCACCCTAAACCCTAAACCCTAACCCCTAACCCCTAAACCCTAAACCCTAAACCCAAAACCCTAAACCCATTTATTGTTCTTTATTCGGGCTGCTGCATTCCTAAACCGTGTTTTAAGCCAGGACAGCCGGTCCTAACCCAAAACCCGTAAAGGTTTAGGGTTTACGGGTTTAGGGGTTTAGGGGTTTAGGGGTTTAGGGGTTTAGGGGTTGTAGCGTTTTAGGGGTTTAGGGGTTTCGGGGTTTAGGGGTTTAAGGTTTTAGGGGTTTAGGGGTTTAGGGTCCGAGAACACTTAAGAATTACAAACCCGAAGACCTCGAACGCTTGAACTCTAAAACCCTGAACGCCAAGTCTGGGACCCCTCAACCTTGGGGTTTAAGGTTTAGGGTTTCCTCGACTCTCAGCCCTCCGGATCCATTAGGGTTTGGGGTTTAGGGAATCCCGAAACTGCAATGTCTTCGAGCGCACTATGTGGAGCTAACTGGCGGGATTCATTTTATGAGCCAGTATATACACCGTATAGATTCAGGGGAGCATATTGGCAATCAATTAGGCTTCAGCATTATGTCTCTGAGGTTCGTGATCTCCCTTCTCGGCTCCAAACACTCAAGGGCTTCGAGTTGCGCGCGTAGGGTTTTGAGGTGCCGGCTGTCGAGTTTCGGGAGGCTTAGGGTTGAGGGGCCCCAAGAGAGTTTCAGGATTCGGGTGCTTTGGGTCTTGAGAGTTTGAGGTCGAGGTTAGGGATTGGCGCCTACAGAGTTTTGAAGTTCGGTATTTAGGATGCTCAGGGCCTTTGGTTAACACCCAAGCGTTGAAAGTTTGGAGTTTAGTGTTTTGAGCTTCGGCTTTGAAGCTTCGTGTGTTGAATGTTTCGAGTTTTTGGCTGGCGCTTCGTGCTTCCTTGGGCGTTTAGGATTGAGCCTTCAGGGTTTAGGAAGTACGGCTGAGGGCGCATGTAAGGCTGCGAGTTTAGGGTTTAGGGTTTAGGGTTTAGGGTTTAGGGTTTAGGGTTTAGGGTTTAGGGCGAGTCGGGGTGAGAGGTTGACATTGAGGGCTTACGTTTTAGGAGTTTCGAAGGAGCACGAAACATAGGCATCGTCAACAGTCAGCCTGGCCCAAGTCGGTTAGGGTTTTAGGGTTTAGGGTTTAGGGTTTCGACTTGAGGGTTTAGGGCAAGCAAGTTGCGCCCTCCCTCACACGACAGACCCCACACGGATGCCTGGCTAGCCAGCTCGTCGTCTTTCTGCGGGTGGAGCATCAAGCCATACATCGCGAAGTTGTAGGTCACCTGGGCCACACTGGGGAGAGGATTGAGGTTTAAGGATCCCTACGCCCTAAACCCTAAACCCTTAACCCTAAACCCATTTAGGGACCATGAGCAGCAGGGCTGAGGGTGTTTAGGAGTTTCCATACATGGGGAGGTTCTCTAAGCTTTTGTAGATGAACAAATCATGGACACTTCCTTCCTCGCTTCGCGCACACAGTGACGGAAGGCTACTTTTACCGGCCGGTGTTCTGGCACTGAGTGCCAGAAGCTCCAAATAGAAAGCTGGAGCCCTCTTGGCCAACGAAACATCTGTTGGCAGTGCACTCGTCGCCCAAGCCAGTACAAAACATGGAAGGTGTTACTATGTGCTACTACTTCTGGTGAGCTTCTTTGAAGTGCCCTAAACCCTAAACCCTAAACCCTAAACCGGCGGAGGGTTTTTTTTTTTGCAAAGGTGTGGCTCGGCCCTGTCCTCTTGCAAAGGTGTGGCTCGGTAACCCCCTTCCCCTCCACGTCCCACCCACCCCCCC